TTGGAGGAGAAGGAATGGAATGTGCAAGGCAAAGGTATAACCTAGGGCATTTCATTTCACTGGTCATAGGTGTGTAGAGAAGTTTATGATCGGGTTTATGATAGATGGTCGTACTATCAAGAGGGGCAAACTTGTTTGCATATCGGTCATCTAGTGCCACTTGAGTGATCTAACTTTGCATCGTCGCTAGGATCGAGTGGCGTGGCAAGTTGAGTGGCAAATCCTTTGGAAAATGTTTATGAAAAGCTAACACACATACACATGGTGGTGTACACTTGGTGGTGTTGGTACATTTGCAAAGGTGAAGAAGTTGGTGAAGAAAAGGAGTTGAATGTGCTGGTCACGGGGTGACCGGACGCGTCCGATATGTTGACCGGACGTGTCCGGTGTCTTCCTGATGTGACCGGACACGTCCGATATCTATACCGAACACGTCCGGTAATTTGGCTAGGCACGGGTAGAGTTGCTGAGGTGACCGAACTCTGGCTCATAGCAGTGACTGGACGCTGAGCAATCACTATGTAGCGTCCGGTCGTGGTGACGTGGAGCACGGTTGTTGGTCCAGAGTGGACCAGACACAGGGGTATGTCTAGTCGGCCACACCGGACGCGTCCGGTCAGAGTTGAGTAGCTCTGGGAGCTCTCTAGACTCGACCGGACGCTGCTCGTGTTACATTCGGTCGGTCACACTGGACACGTCCGGTCATGGTTGAGCAGCTCTAGGAGCTCTTTGGACTTGACCAGACGCTGGCCCTCCTGCGTCCGGTCAGCTCACCGGACGCGTCCGATCTGACATGTTAGAGAGAGCCATTGGCGGCAATAGCTAGTTTGAATGGGACACATGACGGTTAGGTAGCGACCAGACATGTCCGGTGCACACGACCTACGCGTCCGGTCGTCCTGAAAAACACCCAGTGAAGGGGTAACAACTATTTTAGCCCGTGGGGCTATAAATAGAAGTGGTGGTCAGCCTTTAGCTAGTAGCTTAACACACTAGAGCCTTGGTGGCTTAAGTGGTGGTGCTTGGGAGCCCTCAAACTCACTGTAGCTTGATAGTGTTCATCCAATTGAGTGAGTGAGCGATTCTAGTGCGATTGCATCGTGAGATTGCATCGAGTGGCAGTAGGTGGTCGTCTTGCAAGCCGATGGTGCGTGTTACTCTTAGAGGTTGCCACCTCCTAGACGGCTTGGTGGTGGTCTCCGTTGAAGCCCGCAAGAAACTTGTGCGGTGCTCTGGAGAAGAGCTTTGTGAGGGGCATTGTGCTCGCCCTACGGAAGCCATGAAGAGCAACTCTAGTAGAGCGTGTCATTGAGCTACCCTCACTTTCGGGGTAGGTTCTTGCAGTGCCCGATGTGCGGGCTTGGCGGGTGATGCCAATTAGCCATCGAACCACCAAGTGAGAGGTCGACATAACGGGGACTAGCGTGTTGGCAAACACATGAACATCGGGAGAAAAATCACCGTGTAAACTTTGTTCTTCCTATTGGTTTGCATCCTCGTTACACAAGCTTGTAATTACTTTCATATACATTGTGCTTGTGTAGTTGCTCTTGTAATTAGTTTGCTTGTGTAGCTCACTAGTTACCTTCTTGCTTGTGTAGCATAGAAGTAGCTCCCTTGCGTGGCTAATTTGGTTTGTGTAACCTTGTTAGTCATATTGCTTAGTTTGTGTAGCTAAGTATTTGTGCTCTCTAATTAGGCATTAGTTGCCTTGTTATTGAGCATTGCTAGTGAGCTTAGGAGCTTTATGCTTTTGCTTACTAGCATGTGTAGGAGCTCCCTCGTTGCTTAAAGTACTAGTGGCATAGGTTTGTGTGACCTTGCTTCTAGAATTGGTTAGGTGAGCTCTAGCTAGCCCGACACCTTAATTGCTTAACTAGGATCTTTGCAAGGTGCTAGAGAACATAGATAGAGAGGTGCAGTCTTGGCTAGACCGATAGATTTAATTCCATATTTTTTTTGGTTAGCCGGCGCGATTAGAATTTAGAAATGACTATTCACCCCCTCTAGTCGCCATCTCGACCCTACAGTAAGGCCAGGAGGCTAGACGACTCACAGGCGGAGCCAAAGAGGCAATGAATCGACATGAGGTGACCTGTATCTGCCGAATTTAAGAAAGTGGCTTCGCCGGCCATGGCGACAGGAAAAAAAGCCAATGAGGGGGAAGAGGTAGGTCTGGCTCGGTCCATCCTCACCTTGGCAGGGAGCGATCGATGCTACCAGGGCAACACGTGCACAGGAGCCAAAGCCAAAACATGTGCATGCAGGCTGTGGGGTAGCGTGGCATGCGCGGCCGCAGCACCGTTAATGGCAAGGTGACGGCGTGAGACAGCAAGGGGCAAACCCACATGCTTGGAGACACGACGGGTAGCAGCGTCACGATGCGAGACAGTGAGGGTAGCAGCAGCAGCACAACGCGGTGATGTGACGACAGCGACAACGGCTACACTGCGATGCGGCACGGAGGGTAGCAGCAGCGCGGCCGCATCAAGAGCGGCAACGCGAAGTAGGGGAATGGGCACGTGATGGGGTTAGTGGCCCGCTGCGACTGGCCTCAACCAAGCCAAGGCGGCTCAACCAACCCAACGTGGTGAGCGAGACGCGAGGCAACAGTGGCGGACGCGACGGCAGCGCAACGCGGGACGGGGCAAGCAGTAGCAGTAGCGGCTCTGCGCGGCGGGCCAGCGACAGTCGAGCCCTGGCTGGGCAGGCCAGAGGCGGCCACGCCTAGCCATGCGCGGGTGCACGTGCTACCATGGGCACAGCGTGGGGTGGCCATGCGGTAACCGCGCCCACGACGCCAGATCGCTCGAGACAGTGACACACGAATTTTAAAGCGTTCAACAGGACCAAACGATTGCTTTAGGACCTAAACCATCTTCACCATGCTCAAGATGGCACATGAGACTACCAAATCGAGCTATAACACTACACCACTCCTTAACCCAATCTCTCACAATAAGTTGCTAAACATAGCAGTGTCTAACAGTCGGCAGACTTGAAAATTTCTAAGTTTTAGAGCTGAATTTGATTTCCATTTGTGATTTCTAAGCTAGTGGAAATATTAGCTAGTAAATCATTTTTGACCATAGGTATTTCACTGTCATCTATAAAGTTTATACTTCAAACTTTATTTAAGTATCACATACATGTTCTATAGCATTTTTGCTTAATAAAAATTGGTTTTAAACCCTAAGTGATATAACATGACTATCGAATCAACTTTCGTTTCGCATTTCTGCTGATCGTTTTGAGTTATAGATATTGATCTACATACTTTATCACATGCATTAACACATAAACATGATGCTCATGACATATTTTAGTAAATGATTTATGGTGTAACACCGAGGGTATTACAAAACCTAGCTTTCTGCCATTGACCGGACGCGCAGGTCATCCTGATCGGATGTGTCCGGTCGTCCCGACCGTTGAAGCCGACCGTTGGTGCTCACTGTTGATCGGACTCTCTGGCGAGTCTGGTCGCTTACCATCTGACTCGTCCGGTCGATGTTTTACCGCTCTGGAACCTCTTTGAACTCGATCAGACGCCACTGCCTAGCGCGTCCGGTCATCCACAGCTGCTACGTCCGGTCCTCACTGAGTTATTGCCGCGATGATGAATAGTGAAGTCCGTGCGTCCGGTCACTGCCTCGCTCAACATTCGATCGCTGTTGTTGACGCCTGTTGTTGCTGAGCAGCTGATCAGACACGTTCGGTCCTCATAAGGGCCGCGTCCGATCACCTCTGCCGAGCTCGTTTCTTCGCGATCTTGCATCTAGCTTGGTTCCTATCTTTGTGCTCGGACTTTGCTTGGTTTCTTGGGTCTTCTATTATGCTTCTAGGGTCTTGCTTGAGGTGTTGATCATGTCGCCTTGGTCCAAGTCACGTTTGCAACCTATTGGACTACAAAACTAACACTCGCAAATACATTAGTCCAATTTGGTCTTGTTGATTATCAAACACCAAAATCTAAAGTAAATAAGCCAATGGTCCATTTTTCGTACACACGCATTGACCCACCACCTCGCGGACGATCGAGCAGTCGGTGAGAAAAAAATTGTACAACATCAAAGTTGTTTTCAACGATTGTTAACTTTTGAGTGGTGGAAACTACGGCCTCTAGGTGGAGACAATCCCCAGCTATTGCTTGGGATCTAACCAACACTCGGAGTTGTTGGTGTTTGCGCGTGTAGACGTGCACCTACTGTTGAATGGCGGACAGTCCGAGCCCTAGGTACAAATAGTCTATGGTCGTTCAACCTTTCTGAAAACTCGTTTCTATAGAAAGTTTGAGTTGCTTGGGTGACAATAGAAAACCAATTGCATATGACAGTTCAAGCGTTGTGCCACAGCCGGTCTGCAACTCACTTAACAATAGACTCTAACATGCATTTAATGTTTTTGTCAAAAAAAACTTGCATTTAATGTGAATAAAGATATTCTCTGGTTTAAAGGCGGATCGTCTAAGGTTTGGACCGTCGATGGTCTGGGAAAAACTCTATGTTTTGCAAGGAAGACTCTGTAATGGCTAGTAAGAGCAAGTATAATAACGTTTTTTAGCCGGCTGGGAGGAGTCCACATCGACACGGAAAATGGCCACGTCGGAGAGAGATTACTCAGCGAGTCGGAGAGAGATTACGCAGCGAGCGTTTCCCATCTCGCCCGCCTGCAGCTCATGGTCCGAGAAAAACTTTATTTCTCGCAGCCGTCTCCCAGCTCGCTGTCGGCGAGAAGCCGACACTTCGCTCTCCCGTCTCTCCCCTTCCCGATCCCGTGCTCCACACCATCTCTCTCGGCGCCAAATCGGCATGCTCTCCCACCAAATTGCTTCCCCGCGCGCTAGATTGGTTGTTTGAGCGCCAAATCGAACGATTTAAGCCTCAATTCCTCCCTAATCGACCTCTCTCCCAAACCCTAGACACCACACCAACCGCCGCCACGCCGCTGTTTATCTTGATGAGTAAGAAATTGAAGAGAACCTCTGCATACCGGCACCTATGGAGATTCCCGGCGGTGGTTCAGTTTGTTATTGCGCCCGGGCACTCAGCCCGCTCAACCAAAGATCCATCCTTCCATGTTCGGACCCGGCATGTGGTGTCCGCCTCGCCACCGCAGTGTTTGCCTCCTTCATCCGCACCATATACTGGTTCGGTGGCGGCAAACAACAACCAAAGCGCGTGGCTGGTTCGTCGACTCAAAGAACTGTGCATGGCTGGTTCGTCAACTCAAGGGATGGTGGACACCGCTTGTTGCTGGTATTGGTGGCTCAAGGCATTCTTGGCCTACGGTGACAGTCAAGAAGATTATGATGTGCTAGTATGGTACGTGATCCATTCTTGATTAATATTAGTTTGTGGCCCTTTTAAGTATTCTTAGTTATTTAATTTTGTACTAGTCTATTTTGCTCTGTAATTAGTGGCTTATATTTCATATGAGAGACTTCTGCAACAAAAATGATGCATATTTTTTTCTAGCAATATTTGTGGTGTTTCTTATCTAGCCTAGATGTCTGCGCGATCCCTCATGGTCTGATCAGGAGATTAGTTAGTTTATATTTATTTTTGGCAGGGCTAATCTAGTACACAAGAATTCAGTATTCATATTTATTTTTGACAGGGGATTAGATTCTCACCCTCCTGGTGGTTTTGTTAATATGTTGAAGAGCACACCACAAGTTGCAAGCAATAGGACTGCATCACAGGCAATCCATATTGACAGTGACAACAATGATGCTGATCACAGTAGGTCTGAAAAGCGCTTGACATGGACAAAAGGGGAGAATCTTAAATTGGTAAGTGTTTTTTTTAATTAAAAGGCATTATGTGTTACATTGCTAGCACACACATCAATTGACATCTATTGATAATGTTGTAGGTTAGTGCTTGGCTGATGAATTCAAATGATCTCATCCAAGCCAATTATAAGAAGAATGATCAGTACTGGAATGGTGTTGTTGAAGGTTTTAACAGAACCGTCCCAAAAAATCGAGTCAGATCAGCTAAGCAAGTAAAGGATCATTGGTGGAGAATTAAGCTAAGGGTTGGTTGGTTTTGTGGTAACTGGAAGGAGGCTGATTCTATGTGGGGTAGTGGTGAATCAGAAGATGATGTAATGAAGAAGGCACCGGCAAGTTACGAAGAAGATCACAAAAAAGATGATCCATTTGCGTATAAGCATTGTTGGGAAGTTCTTTCCAAGGAACCAAAATGGGAAGCCTATTTGGAACGCCTTAAAGATCTAGAGCCAGAGAAGAGAAAGTTTAGTGTTGATGAGGAAGTGGAGCAGCAGTTCTCTCTGGATGATGTTAGAGATGAACGACCAATGGGGGGTAGGAAAGCTAAAGAGCTGCGCAAGAAAAAGAAAAAGGACCAGCCTTCTATAATAGATATCGAAGATGAGCTTCACAACTTTTTAGATGCTCAAAAAGCTGCAAATGAAGGGCGTACAGAGATGTTAGAAACACAAAGGCATGTGTCTAGTGAGAAGCTTGAATCTCGGAGGCTTGCTCACCTTGCAGCAAAAGAAAACAAGGAGGCAGTTATGCTAGAAACATATCGATCGTTACTAACGCAAGACACAACTGGAATGGATGAAGATGTGAAAGCCGAGCATGTGTTGGCATTGAGGTGCCTGAGGGAGAGCTTATTTTAAAAAAATGACTAAGGTATTCCTTACGGTTCCATTTATTATACTGAATGATTACTATGCTGAAACAAGTTCAATTTACTGAATGTTTTACTATGCTGAAAATGTGGATCATTGAATTATGTGCTGCACTTAATGTAGTCTATGCTGAAAATATGGATTACTAATTTATGTGCTGCACTTAATGTAGTCTATGCTGAAAATGTGGACTGTTAGCATGCAGTCCAGATACCCATACACGTAGTCAATACTCTAGATAACCATACTACAATTAAATTGCACGTAACTACAATGCAGTGCAGAACTACAACACGTTTAAGAACACTATATAATCCCCTCATCTTTCTATTCTGGCTGCAAAACTGAGTCTCTCCTCGTGCTCTCTGATCTTCCTACTCAGCCCAAACCATGTCAGATTCATACTCATACTCAGATGATTCTGATGAGCTAGCCCCTTCCAAAATCCTTGAAAAGCATGTTGCCGAGCAGAGCGTCCTCGACTCCTTTGCTAGGAGTCTTGCAATGAAGTTCAAGGCTGCCTTCTCGGGTGGGGTACCTCAGCGACAATATGGTCCTAGAAAGAGCATCTGGAGAGATCATGCAGGTGCCCATGAGCGTCTTGTAGCGGACTACTTTGCTGAAGAACCAATCTACCCCGAGAGTATGTTCCATACTAGATTTCGTATGAATAGGCGTCTCTTCCTAAGAATTGTGGATGCCCTTGGTTAGTGGAATCCCTATTTTACTTATAGGGAAGATTGTGCTGGTCGAATAGGGCTCTCACCACTGCAGAAGTGTACAACAGCCATGCGCATGCTGGCCTATGGCAGTCCTGCAGATGCTCTTGATGAGTACTTGAAGATTGGGAAGTCCACTGCATTACAGTACTTGGACAAGTTTGCACGAGGGGTGATTGAGGTGTTTGGTGGGGAGTACTTGCGACGCCCCACACGTGAGGATGTTGAGAGAATACTTGAAACATCCTCAATTTTCCGCGAAGGGAAAATCCACAGAATGAATTATAATATGATGAAACCAATAGTTGATTCCATCATATTATCATATATCAGTCGATAGCACAGTCATACATCATAAGATTACAAGAATACAAGATATTACATCACTGAGAAAACACACCTATTACAGAGTTAATCTAGCGGAAGACTATTGAGTGAAGGCTCCTCCTTCACGGGCATCATCAGAGTTGGCGTAGTGCAGCGTAAATTCCTTCTTCGACCCAAACTTGAGCGTAGGCATGAGACCTCATAATCCTTCTAAAGTCAGCATCTCTGAGAAGCAGGAAAATCTACACACCGCCAGAGGTGTGCAGGCCATGGTCAGCACCGATGAGCTTTAGTGGAAAAGATAAAACAAAAGGATTTAGCGATCCTAACATTTGGTTGTGGTTTGCATCCTTAGCGCATGAGAAGTAAGTAACAGTTGTAATGTAATAATAATGTCCAGTTTTTAACACATTCCCATCCACACACATCCACATCCAGCCATATCCATCCACCAACCATCCATCCCAAACCATCTCCACACCACCACACCTTATCTCATCTCACACACTCAGGTCGACAGGCCAACTCCCTCTCGGCCTTGTCTCAACGGCCCACAGCCCCAAGGCTCATGACCGGAAAATACCCCAACCCTAGAGGGAGAATGGAAGGACTCATCTCCTATCTAGTTTAAGCGAAACCCAGGAAAGGTCCATAGCCGACGAGTTAGCATATGTATCGATCGATCAACCATACACTCTGCAGAGGTTTCACATACCCACAAGATAGCCATCCTCGACGGTGCCCCGTCTAGGTAGATTCTGGCCGCTTGCTAGCCTAGAACGATGCCACCCTACCTCTCAGCCCTGGAACATCCCAAGTCTAGTCTGGGATGGCTGATACTGTGGGTCGTAGACAGGGCCGGGGCCCACCGGATGTCAAGAGCCGGTCCACAAGGCCTCCTGAAGTCTCGGAAGGGTGTGGGGGGGAAACCGCGCACCCCATACCTCCTTGCACATGTTCGCCTAGCAGTAGTGGCATCGCTCTACCAAGTAGTCCGACCGTCCCGTACCATATAGGGCGAGTGGGATGTAAATGATTCCCGGTGAATCTGAGTACTAATAAGTCCTTAGGGGTGACCAAGTCAGAATGTCTTCATCAGGGTTTCCATTTACCGTGCCACCACAGCACCTCCACCCTGGGCTCCACCTCTCCGAGGTTCACACCCAAGGCCACCTCCAATTACCATTTACCCGCCACAGGTATTCCATATCCAAGTGCCCAGGTAGCACCACATGGCAAGACTCACCCCAGGCTCGTCGTTATTCCAGCTCGGTCGACACAACCCTCACTCTCCACGCACCCAAGACACACGCAGCATGCTCACACACCACCAAGTCCGGCACCCATAGCCAAACCATTCCCAGGGGGTGCACCACCAGCATCACATCCCCGATATAATGCGAAGTGGAGTTAATAATAAGTATAGTGGTGTAATATGCAAGCAAGCAGGCAAGTAAGCATATATAAGCGAGCGAATGCGCAAAGCAGGGTGACGTGGTAGAGTGGGTTGCATCAGGGTAATAATGGCTCAGGTAGTAGCATGCATCAAAGTTCTAGCAAAGGAATAATTATAAAGCGCTAGCAGTTCTAGATATTATGCAATGTCTAATAGGATTCTCTAAAAGAGGGTGCTGCCATGACACCTGCGATGTAGAGGTAGTAGTGGTTCAATTCTCCATTTGTTGGTGTTCCATTAGCGGGGTCACCTCCTCCTGTGTTGACTCCATTCCGTAGTCCTTGTCGTTGTCCTCGTTCTCTTGGTCCGATCGTCAGCCACTCCGCGAAGCGACACGCGAGGTAAGAGAACACTCAACACTTGAAAAGACGACAAGACGCAGGAAAATCCAGTAACGCCATCGAGACAATAAGAGATACACAGCTTAGCCCTCTCGGCGGTTGTCCGATTTCCTCGGGCCAAGAATCACAAATGGTGGTTTGCTAAGCACAAGCTTAAGTCATGGCCAAGCCAGTATGGCTTTAGGATAGATGGTTTAAGCCAAAGCTTATCCATAGCACACCACGGCTCACGATCTTCTGATCCGGTGTCATTGAATCGACGGGGATTGGAAGTCGGGCCCCAAGAAGAAGAACGACGAGGTTCAGCTCTTATAGCCTTATCCCGCAAGTCACAATTGGACACGAGAAGCAAACAAGAACGAATAACACTATTGTGACTTGGCTCCAATGTACTTTGGCTCACCCGCTATGGTAGGAAGCGGTAGCGCAAAGAGGTTGGACAGCGACGGGTCCTCTCGATCCACACGACACATCAACGTCGGGAGCCGAGGAGACAGTCGTTCAACACGGCAAAAGCAGTGGGGTTAGCTAGGCATGTCCATGTTATGTTCCCAGACACATCTTCGGGGAAGATGGTTTTAGATGGTTGATCGGGTCGACACGCATGGGTTCGAGGTACGACATAGACCATAGCTTCGCTAACCCAAAGGGAATAGTCCGGTCTTTGATCCAATCGTCATGGGCAAGACAGAATCGAACATAGTGGGCTAGCAGTGCAACAAGAGCAAGGACAACAAGGGACAAGGTCTACTTCTTCCAACACTCGCGCTACGACGAAAGACGGGGCATTGGAAGGAAGCGACAAACACCAAGTGCGCAAACCACTCGTAGGGTACCCGACCTAGGTGCACTGGCACTGAGATATCTCTCGGATTCGAAGCGGTGCGGTTGTCACCGCGAGAATCAGAGAAACGTGATGGTCAAACGGGGTACAAGCATACAAGGTCTTGAACACGAAGAAGCAACTAAAAGCGGAAGAGAGGCGTAGCTCCATGGTCATGGCGAGGTGAACTCGCGGCCACAAGCTATGCCTACGAGTTGGCATTCATCATTCCACGATTGTTTTTCTCCCAGGTCATCTCCCACAGGACTTGGTCTTGGAGGGCTCAAAGCGTGCGGGTGTTATCCGCATCGATGTTAGCATCTACATCGAATCCATCACGACCATGTTCTAGGGCCAAAGACAGGAGCTAACACTCGTGGTACTATGAAGTCAACTAAAAAGCGAGGGGTCGAGTTACACTCGGCGTCACGGTCATGGCGAGATGGATCCTGCGATCGTAACGTCCGAACGAGGTACGATCCCTCAGCCAGCTCGAAGGCTCGGCACACAGGCAACAACACCAACAAGCAGCGATAAGAACCAAACATGACCGAAAGACACAACAACTCGACACGACTGCGGAGTAGCACATTCCATAGCTAGGTGATAGGTGAATTCCTATAAGACAGTCATGGACAGATAGGTTGTAAGAATAGGGCCTGACAAGGTAGATATGCGTATATAGAAAGATGCGAGATGGGGCTTTCCATGGTCTTGGTAAGACATACGACTAGGGTTCATGGCCCAGAGGGTACGACTCGCGGTAGACGGGGTCATGGTGGTCTCGGCAAGCGAGGCCATGGTGGTCTCGGCTAGCGAGGCCATGGTGGTCTCGGCCAGCGAGGCCATGTGGTCTCGGCCAGCGAGGCCATGTGGTCTCGGCCAGCGAGGCCATATGGTCTCGGCCAGCGAGGCCATGTGGTCTCGGCAATGGTGGTCTCGGCCAGCGAGGCCATGTGGTCTCGGCAACGGTGGTCTCGGCAACGGTGGTCTCAGCAATGGTGGTCTCGGCAACGGTGGTCTCGACAACGGTGGTCTCGGCAACGGTGGTCTCGGCAACAGTGGTCTCGACAACGGTGCTCTCAGCAACGGTGGTTGACAGGTGGGGTTCCGCTGATGTCATCATGACATCGGCACGACATCATCAGTCCGACAGGTGGGACCAGGGCTCTTGGGCCATTGACATGTGGGTCCGGGGTCAAACGGTCACTAACAGGTGGGACCCGTGTGACGTCAGCATGACGTCACCTGCTGACAAGTGGGTCCAACGGTGGCATGCTGGTGCCCAGCCATGCGGGTCAGTGTGCTAGGAGCTATGCACG